CAAAGTCAAGCGGTGCACAACCTGGAAGGAAATGAGAAGGCAGAAGCTATGAAAGGTGCAGAAGGGACATGTGTGGTGAAGGCACAATCCAGTAAAAAGAAGAAAACATGGAAGCTGGGTGAAGAAGGGGTATAAAGGGACAGAAGGGGACAAATGTCACTTGGTGGGGACAAGTGTCACTTTGTGCGGGCAAGTTTCAAGGGCCTGTCCTCCCAATCTTGCTCCCCACTGCCAGTTCCTCCTGCAACAGGCCCTGCCTCCTGTGCCCAGGAGAGCTCTCAGAAGGGGTATTTCTTGTGATGGGTCCAAGAACTCAGCCCACATTCCTGAAATGGAGAACATGGAGTTCTCGGAACAGCTCAAGCTGCCGATAGCAAGGTGAGCACAGGCAAGAAGCGGAACCTGCAGCTCACACATGCCCCAGGGTCTGCCAGCTCCTGATGCCCTGCTCTCTGACCCTGTGAAAAATAAGCCCCTGGGCCTACACAGGCCTTTCAGTGAGGTCCCTAACTCACTGAACTGACAGAGTCTTGACTTTCTAGCCAGAAGTATGTGTGAGAGGAGGGAAGAGTGTCATCAGTGAAGTAAAGAAACCAAATGTGCAGGAGTCTGAAAATTGGAACGGGGCTTAATTCAAATTGTTCCCCAGAAAGACGGCAAATTTACCAATTTGTTTTCCCAGGAGAAGTGCATGAGAATGTCCTCTTTCTTGTACGCATGCCAGCATTATGTTATTTTTTAAAATCTTATTTCTGCTGATTGGGCATGTAAAAATGATATTACATTGTTTTTATTTATATTACCTTTAGTAGGAAGGAAACAATTTCCAATGTTTAATGATTATTTCTTTTTTTGTTGTTGTTAATTTTCTCTTTGTGTTCCTTATTTATTTTTCTGTAGGTATTTTCATTTTATCTTATTAAATTGACAGACTTCTTTATATATTAAAGATATCAACCCTTTGTCAGCCATATGTATTACAAATATTTCTCTTCAGTTGTATGCTTAACAGTGTTCTGATCTAATCATAATAAAAATAGTGATAACAACTTTCATTCAATCCTCAAACAATCCTTTGAGATGGAGCAAATTCAGGAGTGTCCCACTGTTATCTTTCTGTATAGTTATGGGCAAATTTGCTTTTTCCTACCAAACAAAGGTGAATGGGGAAAAGCATGAATGGGGAAAAGCATGGCCTATGGAATCAGAATGTCCTTGTTTCTTCCTGGGGTACCATTTGTGTGACTTTATACATTACCTCACTTTGTACATTACCTACAGTGCCTCAGTTTCTTCGTTACTGAAGTGGAGATAATAATAATCTACCTCATGAAAGTTGTTCTGCAGTATACATACGTGTTTAGACCAGTGCCTGACACATCATAAAAGCCCAGTTCATATTACTTATTAATCATCCTTGTGGTAATGATATGTGATTTTGACAAAGTTTTCATACTTTATAAGCATGAAGATTTGGGGATGTTAAACAGTCATCCCAAACCTGCTGTTCTTTGATTGCTGGGGAACAAAGGATGTATTTCATGTGTGTGACACCTCCGCCAACTTCTCGGCCACTGTTGTAATAGGAAACCTGACTCCTGCTCACAGGGTACTGCGTTTGCTCCCAGATGCATCCATGGATAAGGGGTTTTGGGGTCCTCTGACTTGCTAGTTCTGGGACTGTGTGAGGGGTGGATGCTCTCTGAGTTAAATTGACTTGTTTGGTCCCAGGGCGATCCTTGAAAGCCCTGAATACATAGGCAGCAACCCTTTTCCCCCTAACTGGGACTGAAATCAGAATGTTGTCTAACTAGAAAGAAAGCTTTTAGTTCCTCTAATTTAGCTGTGTTCGAACTTTGGTGCACATCAGCCAACCTAACACTCTCCTAAACAATGTGCATGCTATTGTCCTTTCTCTTTTCTGTAGAACCCAGATCTTATGGATCAGGGCTCAGGAATTTGTATTTAATAATAGCTCCTAAAGTTACTAAATTTGTTAGGGTAAGACTAAACTGATGGAACTTAATCTCCAAGTATGAGGGATTTTAAAATATACATATTTATTTCTCTCTCATATAACAGCCCCAAGATGAGTAGTCCAGGTTGGCTGAGTAACCCTGCTTCACACATGAGTTCAGGCACGTGGCTCCCTTTCCTTTTGCTGTTCAGGCCATTCGTAAGGTGTTATCACCACCTACATTATTAAGGTTGAGGCACATTCAAGCTCACTTTGGGAATCTAGCTCTTAGGAAGGAAAAAAATCATGGAAGTGGCTTATCTAATGTCATAAGACCAGGACCTAGAAGTAGCACGTATCACTTCTGGTCAGAGAGCCTGGGTAAGGATGTCTGGCTGAGCAGCCCTGTGCCTTACAGTACCTCTTTGTCTTGAGAGTGAGGAGGGTGATTTGGGGTGGGCAGCCTGAGAGATTCCCCATAGTGACCCTGATGCACATCCAAGTCAGAGAACCCACATCTAACCCAACCTCCCCATTGTGTAGAGAAGGAAAATGATACCCAGTGATATGAATGACTGTTTTTGGTGGGACATATTGAGTCAATAAAACAAATGAAGATTTACCTATGATGTTGCAAAGGCTCTCTCCTTACTTCAGCAACATCCTGGACACTTGAGGCCAGGGACTCATTGCACTTCAGAATTGTTGATTAAAGAAACTGAGTGTACTTAATATTGGGAAAGTAGAGGGAATGATGAGAGATGAGAAGGGGACTTCTCTTATGCCAAATAACCCCTCTCACTATCTCTTTCTCAAACCTCCATAACACCCCATTTCCAGCCATCTTTCTCAACTTTACTCTCCTTTCCAGCTTCCCTATAATTAGATCAGTCCCCTTCATCACTTCGTTTCATTTCCTCTAAAGTTTCCTTTCAGCTACAATGATGTGATACACATCTACCTCTCAGTTTTATAACAGATACGAGAGACACTTTGGGACTATTTCCAGTCAAGTGGAGCTTGTGACATTGAATGGACTAAGATGATAGAATGAGAAAGGGAAGAAAAAGGGCATCAAGATCAGCCCACCAAAGGGGTGAAAATAAGGACACAAATTCTGTGGGCTGTGGAGAGAATGGCCTCAAAACAGCAGAGACTGGGAAGGTGCTGGGGACAGGCTGAGTAAGAAGATAATGGAGCAGTAGCAGCCTTGAGTGCCAGCCAGAAAAGTTTACGTGTGAAGCTACAAGAAAAGTGGAGAGCCTCTGTAGCATGGAAGCAGGAAAAAAATTATGAAAACAATGTTTTAAAATCAGAACCTCCTGCCTATTTTCATCATGAGGGACCTTTAGATGCACATTATGTCAAAGGGGTGACAGGCTTTGATGGTGAGAAGTGCTAGCACTCAGGGGCCCTGCCTCTCTAAGGCACCTCTACATGTGGCATCTTTCAGACTTCACAGCATGATGATTGGATAGGTACTGGGGGGTCAGGATACCAAAGGCTTGGAATAGAGCACCAGAGCTCCTGATTACTTTGGAGGAGCGGAAAGGTTTGGTCTTTAGAGGATGCTCCTGATGTAAAAAGAGGTATTCATTCTGGGTTTCGCTCTTCTCTCCTGGTGAAGGAAGAAATCTGTACTAAGATCTGAAGCAGGCTGGATTTGTTTTTTCTTGCATATTGCCAAAAACATTCCCCAAAGCTTGAATAGTTTTGTCTCTGGGGCTGACATGCCCATTACCCAGAGCTGGACTCCACAGTAGAATTCTATTGTGGGAAAGAAGTTACTGAAACATGAACCAAGAGGGGACCCACTGGACTGCTCTACTGTGGACAGAGCTCACCCCATGGCTGATGAGTTGGTGGTGACACCAGCCTCGCCACTTGGGAACTGTCCCTGGAATGGATCCCATCTTTCTTCCAGGGCCCGGGGGTTCTCCTTTTACAGAGAAGAGAACTTTGTGCCCCAGGCATTTCCCTCTATCACTTTCTTCCGTGACTGCCAAGTGCAAATTGAGTGCTAATTACATACCTATTTGGCCAAACCTAAGGGATTATTTTAACAGCCACCACACCAACAAGGAAAACCGGACTAAAAGGTATCTGCCCTCATGCTGCATGTTGGTTGATTGTCAGAGTTTTGCACTTGTGATGTAATGAGAATTCCACACCAAATGTGATAAACACTATGAAAATTGATATACAAAGAATGATATACAACAAGTATTTCAGTGATGTGACATTCATTCACATGCATTCATTTAAAATTAGGACATTAAAAAAGAGTTGCCTTGGGATAGAGGGAGGATGTATGATGAGAAAACAGGAGTACATAGGCATGCGTTAAGGAACAAGATGCCTGCCCATATTTTATGTAGAGTATTGAACCATAAAAATGAACAAATAAACAATTGATAGTTAAAAAATCACTACAATATCAGAAAACAAGATTAAAGATTAATTCCACCTGGCACTTGACATAAACTTCCTATTTCACCCCTTCGTGGCTTGCCATTCTCTGCCCCAGGGAATCAAGAGTATCCTTGAGAAAAATCTCAATACACATTTTATTTCTTCTCTATAGCGACCTGTGAAATAGATAAGGATGAGGAAGAAGGAACGAAGACTGCTTAGGGCTGGAGCTGCTGGCTGAGGGCAGCAGCTAAGGCACAGGATCTTTTTCCTCCAGCAGCTTCTGTAGGGCGGGCAGACCTCCGGCTGCACAGGCAGGAGCTCACATTTGTGTGCGTGCATCAGTGCACACAGTTCTCTGAAGACAAGCAGTGATGATATCCCCTATGCTGGTTCATTATTCCTCTGAATAATCTCAGTGGCAATACAATTAATTTTTAATTATCTATAGCAGTCTGGAGCCTTCTTTCCTTAATCCTGTCAATTTGGGTGAACTCTGCTTCTTGGCTTTATAACTGTTAGGATGGAACTCAGTGTAGGTGAGAGAAAGTGTGCGTGTGTATGTGTGTGTGTGTGTGTGTGTGTGTGTGTGTGTGTGTGTGTGAAGAGAGAAAGTATTTGCACTCCAAGATCAGTTATGAATTTTAATCAGATTATGCACAAATTTAGATTTTCCATTACTTCAGTTAGTATAATCAGAACTTTACCATAGTGCTAAAAGGGTAGATACAGATAACAGAAGGCAACAAGCAATGACCACAATACATATGTTCTTGTTAGATAGACTATCGTTCACACCCCTGTGGGATTTACAATTTAAAGCCACTAACTAACCAGCTCATCAGAGAATTACCTGTTAGCACTGCCAATATTTTCTTTAATGAGGTAACACCCTGGTATTGGCACCTGTGGAATGGTTTGCCTGTAGTGAGCTGGCCCATAGTGGTCTCCAGTTCTGGGATCTCAGAGCAGCTTATGCCAAGATCCTGCCCACACTTATAGCTGGAGACCTTGGGGGTCCCACCAGTCACTTCCATGAAGCCATGGATAGAGTTATTGCTCAACATGCATGACCCATTCGCTTGTGAAACTTTTCTCCAGATCACCATGTCGCTGTAATTCTTTATGTCATCACCTGAGCTGTTTCCCTTGGGGAAGCTATAATGTAATCTCCTGAATGTCAGTGATGAAGATACAATATCCTTGGACATGCTAAAGCTGGTGTTTGTAGCTGACAGAGTTGAGTTCATGGATACCTCGATGGTCTGTTTTTCTTGGTCACTGTCTGCCAAGTCACCTTGCATCTCTTCCTCTGAGAATTCTTTTTTAACTGTGTCCATTTTGTTTCCTGAAGATCCTACAAGAATCAAGCCCAGGCTGAGTAGCAGCAGACAGACCTCCATCTCAGATCCAGGGTAATCTCCTCTGCAGTGAAAGTAGAGTCAAAGATAAAAATAAGGAGAATATTAAGGAGACAGCTCTCTTTTCCTCATGACAGTTATTCCCAGGATTGACCCCATCAGTGTAACTTAGTTTTACAGCTGTTAATGGAAGCGCAAATGACCAGCTGTGGGGTCTGAACCCAGCCTCAAATTCCTGCTTATCCACTAACAAGTTACCTCAGTTAACTAACCTCAGTTTCCCTATGCCAAAAACAGAGAATGTGAAAATTACATAAGAGAATATGTTTGAAGTGCCCAGAACCTACCTAGTAGTTATTTCTCTCCCTTTTCTCCTTGTCTGCAATCTCATTTGAAGGGTCTGTAATCTTCAGAACAGTCTCGAGAATCCCACTCAACACCTTCCTCACTATTGCTACATCCCTACACCCTCCCATGGTACCTGCCACACAGTAAACACTTGAAAAAAAACCACAATGTTATTTTCCCCCTCCCCCATTTATTTTCCCATCAATTCTCAGTCATGGGACATCTGTCTTTACCAGTTTCTTGGGCACAGTTGATCCTCTGGAGAAAGCTTCTAGGTTGTTGCAGGGCAAGAAGTGAAACTATATCTGTTTCATGGAAGTGTTTGCTATTGGGTCTAACTGAGGGAAGGAGGGGCTAAAAACACGGTAGGTAGAACTGTATGAGATCAAAGGAGGAGACAACATGGAATCGGGGCAGTCAGAGGATCAAACGAAGTGGAAGTGTCCGTTTGGCTGTCCGAATCCCAGCGACCTGGGCAGCACCACTGCTTCCTCTTCTGTGAAATTGTCACTGTCCATTTATTTATACTTTAGCCCAAAGTGGCTTCTTTCCTTCTTTGAAACCCCTACAGCATAGATTATATTGCACTTTACTTTATATGGTCTTTTTTTTTTTTCAAGTTGTTGAGACAGGTTAGTCTTTTCTCCCTCTTACTGAGGCTCAAAATTCCTTGAGCCTGGAACACATTCCTGCTTCTTTTTAGTCTGTACAGAGTCAAACACTGACCTGTGTATACACAGATTTCTCAGCAATTTTGTCAACAACATACCATGGCTTGATTAGTGAGGAAAATTCTGTACTGGATGTCAATGCTGGAAGATTTGTATTGAAAATCCCAGAAAGAATGATTATTTAGAGTGATCATTCATTCTCTTGCTCTAGCAAGATCTCTTTTTTTCTCTCTCTCTCACCTTTAAGAGCTTCCTTCCCTTACACATGTAGCTCTTGCATTATCACATTTACATCCCAATCACCACTCCCTGCCCATCCAATTCCTTCAATGCCCTGCTTTTCTAAAACACCACTTGCAGTGACGCTACTTCAGAAACCTTCAACTATTCCTCATTGCCCATGGGAGGTAATGGAACTCACTGAGGCCGCTGAGTCAAGGCTCTACTTGATCTCGTCTCAACCTGCTTCTCAAGGCTCCTCTCCCATTATTTTGCTATGCACACTGGCTCTCAGAAAATCAGTGTGGCCCACTCTTTTTGAATACACTCCATTCCATCTCTTTATTTTTGCTTTTTTTATTGAATGCCTATTTACAACACAGGAGCTCCAAGCCAAGGAGCTGCTTCACTGTCCCTCATAGTCTGAAAAATCCCACCCAGAGTGCAATGATGGCAGCATATCAATGGACTTATATTTTTAATTACATTTAATTTTAAAATGTCCTGTGTGTAAAATGAGAGCAAAAACACAGTACTAAAAATATATAAGCCTTAGTAATTGGATTGATTGTGTATTTATTATTAAGAATTACATGGACATGTTCACATCTGTGCCTTGAGCACAGACTGGGTGCAGGGTGAAGGGAGGAGGGAAGAAGGGCTTAGGTTGTTTCCTAAACATCAGCTACCATCAGCATCGACAGTGAGGTGATCATAGGAATGCACACATACAATAAGGAGGAAAAGAAGAGGAAAAACAGCATAGAGATTCCCAGTTTTCGCACAACATGTATTTCAAGTGGACAGAATTAGCAGCTACCTGGGTCTGATTTGGGCTGCTAGGTGCCCATTAACACAAATAAACAGCAACAACATAAACCCCCCAAACTGCACATTCCTAAAACGTCAGAAGTCACTTGGACTGGGCTTTGATCCCCACCAAATAAAAATACTCTGAGGATAATTTCCAGTGAGCCATCTCAGGTGCATACTGACTCACTTCAGTGGGGATACCTGATTTTGTGTTTCATTAGTAGAGGGAGGTTAGGTGAGAAAATGAAATCATTGGGAAGGAAAGAACAATAAAGCTTAGGGAGGAGAGTTGGAAAGGGAATCAGAATTCAGAACATAGAAACAGGAGCCTTAAGGGACACATTTTAGTAAGTTAAAGCTTTGTCCAAGAAATGATGCTGCTACCAGGACTCATATACGAGGGACCACCTGTTGTTGTTGCTCAATATTTTCAGGCGTGAGGGCTCTGCTCCCTGGGGAGCATCAAACTCCCATAAGACAACAGTAACAATGGGGTTCCCACAGAGAAATGGGTAATGAAACTCAGCTGCGAAAGGGCCGCCCGACTTGGGTGAGCCTCGCACAGGTTGCAAAGTGTCCTTTACTCACATTAGTCACCCTGTTCCCTCCACAATCCAATCAGTCATTTAGAATTTGATGTTCACAACAGAGAGTTAATAGCACAGGTGTGCCTCCTTTTTTTGATCTGACCTTGAATTAAGTACAGATAAATAATGCAATAGTTGAAGTCTCTCAACTGAGAAGATCAGAACAGATCGGGCCCTCTGAAGCTCATGCATTGCTCACATACAGGATTGGAATGTTCAGAATTAGTTTTCCCACAATCTGCCACTTAATTGCCAAATATCCCTTATTTCTTACTATTCTTCAATACTAACCCTCCCCTCCAACAAGGCTAATTTCTGTACTACTAAGGAATAGAATTGTGGTATGATAGGCCTGGGGAGAAACTCAAAGATTATCTAGCTCAAGCCCTCCCAGTTTACAGATGAGACAGCTAAGGCTCAGAGAGGAATGGGACTTCATCAAATTCCCAGAATCAGGAGCCTCTCTTTCTCTCCCTTCTCTTCCTTTGCCCTCTAACTCTAAAGATCCACTGCCTATTGTTGAATGTGAAAGAACTAAACAACCAGTTCAGTTGCAAGAACTAAAAAAGGAAGAGTAGTCTGAGTCAAAGTCCCTTCTGTTTCCTTCAGGGATGCGAAGAGGCGATACTCTCCCTCAGAAATCCGGATCTATTTCTCTCCACAGTCTTCCAAGGAAATGGTTTCTGACCAGTCAGGCCCCTTCTGATGTCTTTTGCCCTTTCTTTCAAGGCACACAGGGAGCGGCTGAACAGGAGCTGATGCAGCTTGAGGTCTATATGCCATCTTTACGGAAAATCCTAAGAGACAACCCCAACTGCCTCTACACTTAAGACCAAGTATGGGATTAGGGTAAAATGAATAAGGTGCTTGCTTTCAGTACAAAAGTTAAGAGAGTTAAAAACAAACCCAGTAATCAAAGTAATATTTTAATGCAATCTTTAAAACTGATTTAATTCAAAACAATCCCTAATGAACAAATATCAAAAATTTAAATATCAGGCTCTGACCCTTCAGGAGCACAACTCGGGGGTCCCTCATCACCCTAAATCCAGCCCTGTCAGATCAGGTCTTGGTTTAAAATTCAGGTATTTTGTTCATCAGGGATTTTTGCATTAATTCGGATTTCTGAAAAGTATTATTTATCTAGATTACTTGGGGGGGGTGCTCCTTAAAATTTGCTTGTGAAGTGAGTGCCTCACTCACCTTATCCTCAGCCCAATCCTGCACAGGATACACTCTTAGCTCTCATCAAGTGACCCCAAGAAAAGGGACAAAAAATTGAAATACAAGCATAGTTTTTGGTTTAATTCAATAGAGCTTTATAGTTGAAGCAGAATAAGAAGATTCCAGCTCAGCAATACTGGAAGGATAAAGGAGTTACCGGTGGCTACTCCATTTCATTCCAGGCTTTACCCCACGTCCACAGCTCAGGTGCACATCAGAAAGAACCAGCACCAGCACCCCTGACAGAGGACAAGAGAGGATCTCAGACCCAAGGCGCTGGACTCGAGTTATTCAACATATCTCTGGAAAGTAACTGGCCCCGTATTGTCACAAGTGACCAGAATGAACCCCTCTGTGGGGGAAAGGTGGTACCTGCATGCAGGATACCTGACACCTTCAGCGAGCTTACAGACTGTCATTTTGAACCTTGTCTCACTCTGGAAGCATAAAATGCTGGAATAATTTTGGCAAGCCATCTTCTTGGGAGAAGTGCAAACACTATTGATTTTTCGAGGCCTCTCATGGATGAAGACATGCTCCTTCCTGCATGTGTTGTCAGGTTCCTTGATGATTCTTTGGAAGATCATGTGGTTGCAGTACCTTACACGGATGTTGCTCTGAGGGTAGTCCACATGCAAGTGCTCTATGGTTGACTCCGCGACTTCCTCATACAGCTCGTTTTCCCAAAATAGAATCAGCAGGAAAATTATCACCATTATTATCATCAGGGGTAAGAGTCCCTTTACATCTTGTGCTCTGACTTCTGAAGAGTAAGAGGAAAGAGAAAGTAGCAGAGGGTAATCAGATTCCTCCAGCCCCATACCCTGACTTTGCTCCCCCACCCTTAGGATATTTGATTTCCTTCTCTCTGCTAATTAAAATCATGCTTACCCTGCAAGATCCAGCTGGAGGTACAGCTCTCCAAGAAAGCTGTTCCTGACCGTTTCAGCTCTCAGAGTTGGGCATTGAACTGTTCTCTAATCATTCCCATTTGTTTTACTTCCATCAGCTCTTTGATAGCAAGGATCTGATCTCCTAGTGCTCCTGATCTGTCAGAGTACTTACCACAAAGCTGGACAGAGGTGCTCAAAAGTACCCATGCCTCATTGTTTTATTCCTCTTGCAGAATGACTTCCTTCCCATCATTGTCTCAACCCTAATTCCGCCCAATTCCATGTTTTTAGCACTGTCTTCTACTCTGTTCTTCCCAGTTCTCCTCTTGTCAACCCTAATTGGCTATGTCAGCTTGTCTTACCGCTCTTTTTTGCTGTAGCTTTCACAAGTGACATATCCTTGTGATTATGGATCTGAAAAAGTCCCTTGTGTCTTGCTGTTCTCTGACAACTGTTCGGTGTGGGGAGGGCCAGAGTGGAAACAGCAGAAAGGGCGGGGCCTGTAGGGGAGTGTGCTTGGTGCCTTTGGGAAGGAAGGGAAGCCACCTTCAGAGGGAGAGTTGGCTAAGGCAGGTCCTGAAAGTGTCCTCATTAAACAAGTGAAGATTTTTCAAAACATTTAATAAAGTCCTGATGTGTGCCAGACACAGGATTGTCTATTTTCCAAATTTTCAGCCAGTTCTTACTCAAACCTGTGAAGTAACTATTACCTCCATTTCATTAATGAAGGAATTAATTGCAGCCCTGGCTGGTGTGGCTCAGTGGTTGAGTTCCTGCCTGTGAATAAAAAAATCACCAGTTTGATTCCCAGTCTAGAGCACATGCCTGGGTTGTGGGCTAGGTCCCCAGTAAGGCACATGGCAAGAGGCAACCACACATTGATGTTTCTTTCCATTTCTTTCTGTCTCTCCTCCCCTCTCTAAACAATAAGTAAATACCTACATAAAATAAAGATAAAAACTTTAAAAAAAGAAATTAATTGCAGAACATTTCAGGTGGAGGTGGAAGATGACAAAAGTAATAAGAACCTCACTTTCTTGACACTTAAACTTCAGTTTTAGCAAATTCTAGTCCCACATGGTGTTCAGGACAGGGCAGAACAATCCCCTGACATTAACATTCTCTTGATAAAGCCCCGGAAAATATGGCAATGGTTCCCAAACTCTGCTGAATAATGGAATCAGCTGGACATTTTTTAATGCCACTTTGAGACATTCTGCTTTAATTGGTATTGGAAGTTACCTGGGTTTTGGATTATTAATAAAAGCTCTTCCAATGATTCTAATATGCAGCAAAATTTTGGGAACTACTGAACTGTGGCATACATTGGAAACCTATGTGGAAAATTAGTGGAGGAGTGCTTGGTGAAAGACCAAGGTTTTGAAACAATAGGATTATTTTTGTTGCTATCATCTTCAGGTCATTTGATATAGGAATGGGAAAACAGGCTTAGTTTTATGACTCCTTGCCCTGAAAGGATTTCTCTTTTGGTGAGACTTTTGCATAGTCTCCTCTATATACGAGGTCTGTCTGGAAAAAGTCCAACTGTTGTTAATACAACAAGAATGGTTTGTGTGACATCGATGTAACACGGCAGCTAGGAAGAGTGGACTGGAATGCACATGCATGAACAATGATGACTTCACTGTACTAGTCAGTGGGGGTGGTAGATGCTGTCAAGTGGGATGTGTACTGTGTGACTATTGCATTCAAAATGCCTGAGTGAATAGAGCAATGAATCTGCATCAAATTGTGTGTTAAGCTTGAACATTTCTCCATGGAAACTATTCAGATGATTCAGAAGGCTGCAGCTATGGGCAACTGATGATTGGCAGCTTCATCACGACAAGTCACCTGCTCATGCATCACATCTCAAGCAGAGTTTTTTGGTGAAAGATCAAATCACCCAGGTGACTCAGCCCCCCTACAGCCCAGATTTGGCACCCTGCACCCTCTGGCTTTTCCCAAAACTAAAGTCACCTTGAAAGGAAACAGATTTCAGACCATGAATAAAATTCAGGAAAATGTGACGGGGCAACTGATGGCAATTAGGGGAACTGGGTGAGGTTGCAAAGTGCCTGCTTTGAAGGGGACTGAGGCATCATTGTCCTATGTACAGTGTTTCATGTATCTTATTCAATAAATGCCTCTATATATATTACATGCCTGGATAATTTCTGGACAAACCTGTATACCTGTGTCTTTCTAATTGATGAGAAGAAAAACATTTTGAGGTAAAAATTGTCTAGAGAATCCTGGAAAAGTCTTTAAAAATGTGTCCCTTTCTATACAAAAAACCATAATTCCAGACCATGAAAATGAACAACCAAGATGTTATTATTTACTTTCTAAAAACTTTCATTCTGGGTGTCCTTCCAGAATTCAAACTGCCCTGTTTGGGATATGTGTTTCACAATGCCACAAAGATATAAGTACCCAATTAATTATTGATTCATTTTCCAATTAATAAATTTTGATTTGCACATCATTTGCAGAAATATTTTCATTGTTTAAAGAGAAATCTATCTGAAGAGATTATTGTTATACATTTTCCAAATGGCTGCTTGATGACAGAAAAGTCAAAGAGATAGTAGTCTAAGGAAGATGGAGCTTTATTTCTCATGTAAAAGAAAGGCTGGGGTAGCAAGTCCTGGATCAGCCAGGTGCTTCCAGGTTCTGACTTCTGTCTCAGAGTGTGACTTCCATGTCACAATCCAGGTGGCTGCTGCAGCTCCAGACATCACATCTGCATTCCAGCCAGCTGGGAGAAGAAAGGCACAAAAAGGGTGTGGCACTGCCTTCTAAGGACACATCTCAAAGTTTCGCACATCATTTCCACTTACAGCTCACTTGCATTTATTTGGTCAGTCACATCTAACTGCAAGGGACACTGGGAAATGCAGGGTTTATTCTGGGGGATGAGGCTCATGTGCCTTAGCTGAAATTCTGGTTTCCAAACAAAAAAGGGAGAATAAACACTGGAGGACAAGTAACAGCATTTTTCCTACTTGTCTTCAGGCGCACATTATTATGGAAAACATTAATGAGTGTAATTCAAGAAAAAAGTTTCATGATCAAAAGTTTGAGAGACACTGTTAATTATATTTCTTCTCAATAAATCCACAAAGCACAATTCTGAGAAGCACAGCAACAGAGAAGCTTGACTGGTTTCATTCAACTAAGGCTTTTACAAATTGATTTGAGCATGGAACTTTAGTTAAGGGGCACCACGGCAGAACAGGGGTCCATGGAATATCGGTGTGGGACAGGCCGGGACTGGGAGCCACAGGTGGTAACCAGGCCTCCGGGTGGGAGCAAAGGAAACGATAAGCAAAAGGGAATGGAACCTAGGGAGCCCCGGGATTTTAGATTTGGGGTACTGCCCTCCCTTTAAAGAATGTACAAAAATTCAAGCCCCATCCTTATTACTAGTAGAATTCTAACTCTTTTCCTGAAATGTTTTAGGAGCTCTCTGAGGACTGCTTTTATCTCTTGTCTACAATGAATCATCAAGGCTGTCTGTCTGTCCATCCTGTTGCAGCAGCTCCTCCGAAAGCCTGGGTGCTCTCCTACACACTGAATACAGGATGTGGAGTGTAACAGACATTCTGAACATTTTTAATTACAAAAGAGGAAAAAAATATTCACTAGACTCAGCAGCTATCAGCAGACCCTTCACAAGGACTCCCTTTCGGGCTGCACCTTTCTCTGGGGCGCCCCGATGTGGGTGTGCTTACCCTCCTTATCGTGGGCTGTCTATCTCCTCTTTCGCCAGCCCTGGGCCCCATCAGACCGCGATCATGCCACAGGAGGGGGCTAGGGGCTCTCTTCCTGAGATGCACTTTCTGAGTCTTTACCCTCAACCGAGGAAACATGAATCGCCCTTCTCGAAGAATGGGAGCAGAAGGAGGTTGCAGAGCACACTACGGGGGAAGGCTACCTCACCGCCAGCCCTCAGCCACTCAGTCTGCCACTGCCTGGCTCCCACAGACTGTTTTTCAGAAACCATTTAGAAAGGTTTCTAAGTGAAATCCATCCCTCTGTGGCTATTAATTAATTAAAAACACAGAAACCTGGGCCTTACCCCAGACCTATCAGATGGAAGACTGGGGGTGAGGTCCTGGAATCTGCATTGGTAATCAGTTGCCCACCTCTGGTGATTATAATGCACACTGACGTTCAGGGATCACTACAAGAGATGAGCCCTGAATTGGTAAACAGCATGGTAATTGATAAAGAATTTCACCCACCCCACGTTGAAACTGACATTTACATTATTATGTGGAATTGCTCAATACCTCACGTGAAACCCTGCACGTGAATTTCTGTTCTGATTCAGAGCTTTCCAGAGTACCTGCCCCTCAACACACACTGGAAGGACCTGCCTCCCAAACGCACTGCTGGAGGAGGAAGGACTGGTCTCTCAGTTCTAGTCCTTAATTACCTGTGTTCTTTCAGCGTTTGTAGAAAGCAGTTCATCAAGAATCCTGGAGATGAGCAGAGTGACCAGGTTCCACCAGGGACAGAGGTCCCAGGCCAGGCACAGGGAAGGAGAAGTGAGACTATGTCTGAAGGTTGGGAACAGGGGCCAAAGCCGGAGTGGCTGGCAGTGAGGAAGCTGGGAACACCTCACACCCAGGAAGGTGGTTTAGAGCGGAAGGTGTTCGCCTCCCCGCACCATTCTCTAACCCCTTCTTCCTACTTCTCTATCACCCAGATGCCAACTTTTAGCACCTGTCTTAAGACCAAAAGGTTGGAAGTACTTTTGAGTTGGGACCTATTTTTTTCTCTCCCTGTTCCTCCTTACCAAGGAGCCCTCCCAAACTTTTCACCTACTGTACTGGTGTGGAGAACAGTCAGATGATCGGGAGTTTCTTTCTAACCTTGGAAGTGGGCCTTGTCCATGAGGAAATCTCTGCTGCCTCCCACAAACTCTCAGGCATCCTGTGTAAGCTCAGGTGTCAAGAAATACCTCTAAGGGCAGGGCAAAGACATGGGACTCTATCGACTCCTCCAGGAACCCATCTTAAATCAACCACTTCCATCTCCTTTCAGAGATTCTGGAAGAAGCCCTCCTCCATGCTTCCTGTACCTGACTTAGTCTTAACATGTATTATTTGCAAGGGTTTATTTGCCCTTCTCTCATGTGTGCTGTGTGCCTATGGCGAGCCAGAACACGTTGCTTGTTTGGTCAAGCACACTGCCTGGTACTTCCCAGGAGAACAAAAAGTGTTCGTGGAGTGGATGAAAGGACCAGATGTTGCTCTTCTGCTGCTAACTAGTTGTGTGATCTTCCAAAGCCACATCACTTCTCAGAATCCCAGTGTCTTCATCTCTAGAATGAAGGTGAAAGAAAAGAATAAAGGAAGAATAGGACTATCTATAAACTCCCTTTCTGCTGTCGCACACTAAGGTTCTGAACTAAATAAAGTGACCCCAATGGCTATTCCCTTAGGAAGACACTTCTCTGGCAACCTCTCCTACTCCACTCTCAACACACAGGTGCATACACACACATGGGGGACGTAAAGCCATGCCCTCTGCCTTCCAGCCTGGAGTCAGGGTGAGCAATGGGGAAATGGGTCCTGGGCACCAGGCCCAGCAGTGGGAGCTGGAGCCCTAATTCAGGAGTGTGGCAGAGTAGCCCTGTGAACTCGCCTAGGGAATTAGGAGTCTGGTCAGAGGGACAATCAAGAATACTTATTATTGGGGGGAAAGTGGGGCATGAAGCACCCCTACTCTGGAGGGATTCGTTGGCTATGTTCACAGCCTCTGGGCATTCTTCCAACTGCCTTCCCATGAAGTCATCCGTCGCGCTGTCCAGATGAGGTAAACGTATGTCTAAGAACAAGCTGCTCCTGATTTGGGCAGAATGTGTTCAGACTCAGATCAGAGGCTATCAATCTCAGCTGTGCAGTTGCAGCCCCGGGCTAGGAGCACAGGAGGTCCTGTTCTCCTTTGGGGGCAAACCAAGCCATTTCTTTTTTTTTTTTTTTGATGTTAGTTGTATCCCTGAAATTACTGTCACCACTTAATAGCCCAGGGGAGGCCATGATGAGGGGAGGTTGCCCTAAGCATGTCTTTCTAGGAGGCCCCTGTCCTTCAGTTTTCCACTTCTGAGATCGCTTTGATCATAGCATCCCTGGTTTCTCATGTGTGTCCCCAGGCTGGGTCCACAACAGGTTCCTTTGAATCCTCGTTTGGAAATGCCATTAACCCAGCCTTCCCTTGCAGCACCTCCAACGTCACCCCCAGGCCCTGTTCTCCTCCCCGAGCCAGTTCCAGCTTCCCTGAAAATTAGATAAGATTCCTTGGAAGAAAATAATGATTGTCCCCAACCCCTGAATAATTACAGATGCCTTAAAGAACCCAGATGCAATAAAAACCAAACCAAACAAAACCCTCCTTTTTCTCAGAAGCACTCAGCCAGAGCAAAATGAACAGTGGCCTAGCAGTTGTGAGAGCCTGTCTTGAACTGGCTCAGCCACTAACTAGCTCCGTGACCCTGACCTTAATTCCATGGGCCTGGCTGACCTCCTTTACAAGCGGCTGGGGGCTGGCAGAGTTGGGGAAATGAATGCATTAGGTGAAAACCGGGAGCAACTGAGAGTTGATAAAGCACACCCAGCCACCACATTCCATGGTGCAGGTCTCTGTGGTTGCCTGTTAGAGTGCTGAAACAGTGCTCCCTGTGGCTTTTTGTCAACCATACTATACCACGGAAATCTTTTTAAAAGACAAACTAGTTCTGTGCCTCTGCTGTCCACTCCTTGCTCCCTAAAATGTCGATGGCTATTCATAAGTCTTAAAATAATGACCACAGTCCTTACCTCTGCCTATGCAGCCTTGCACGGAGACCCTCACCTCAAACCTCTCCTTTTCTCCCTCCATACATAGGGTGGGGCAAAAGTAGGTTTGCAGTTGTGAGTAGGCAAAGCACAGTTAATAAAGCTATTGTAATAACCCTAACATGCATGTCTTTTTCCATATGAACAACTGTAAACCTGCTTTTGCCCCAGCCTGTAATATTTTTGCTCAATAGCTGTTCAGTAAATATTGATTGAATGGAATAACACATAAGTGAATGACCTGAAAGAACTATATTTTGCTCTTTAACCACAGTATCAATGAGCTGTACTTTGTAAAATTCAGAAATCTTCTTTGAAGGCTTCTTTGGTGGGACCCTTGTAGCGCCCAATGGACATGAGCCCAGAAAGATCAATGAAAAGGAAAGTGTTGATTTACCTCTAATTACTACTCAAGACCTTAAATCTATGGTTGTCCCTCTGATTCTCCCACTTTAGCTGGTAAAAACCAAGCTAACGAGTTTTGCTAGTGGGTGCTGCCCCTGTTCTCTTGCTTTCTATCCACACCACGAGATGCCACCTAACTTAGTAAGTAGTTCAGCCTGATTCCATGAACACCTTATCCTAGGACAATAACACAGACCTACCCTCTGTAAGTTCCACACCCATGTCATGTACACAGAAGGATCAACAAAAAGTAGTGGGATCCCTAGAAATTAATGTTTAATCTGCAATCTCAGTAAGAACCTAAAAATAAGACACCTGACATTACCTGATTTGGCCACAAGGGAGCAGTTCCCGGGAACTCCCGGGAACCGAGCTGCTGCCTATTATAACAGCTTGTTTGTGACCAGCAGAGATTCTCAACCGGCTCCGTATCATCACCCACCAGGCATCCTCTCCGCAGGCTAACAGTGTCTCCTTTAGGGCTCATATGACTGCGATCCCTCATCTCAAAACCTGGTCAAACGCGGTTGATGGCGTCCTGGTAGTTACACAGGTCCTTCCCTAACCTTAGTTTTCCTTTTCGTCCTTTGTCTCCCTATTGTGGCCTTTGGTTCATCAGTTTATTAAATCAATTTTTTTACAGATTCTTACAGGATGGCTGTTGAGTCTGTAACCCTACAATGGGTGCGACCCTACAATGTGGTCCCAAAACACCATTGGTTCAGAATTTGCCCAGAGCCTTAAAAGTCTGAAGCAGCTGGGCACTTAAGCAAGTCTGTAAAGGAGCCAATGACGCTGATGTCAAATTTAAAGCTCCGGAGAGTTTACGTGGTGCCTTCCTTTATGTCCGGTCAGAAGAACTTTTCAGTGCTTCCTTAAAGCATAAATAGGTCCATACTGTGGCCCAGTGGGAGAGCTACTACAGAATACTTTTCAGGCATGGCTCCCCCTCAACTTTCCCAGAGGACGGCACATTCCCCACACTGCAAGTGCCCTCAGGTCAAGACCCCAGTACCTTCATGCTCCTTATCTCCCTCAGTGTCACAGGTTCGGGTATTTCTAGAAAGCCTGTATAACTTTTCTGATTTAAAACAACAATTTACACAATTCATTAACCAAATACTTAGTATCTATTAGGTCCTAAGAACTGTTCCAGCCTGTGAGTCTGCAGCAGTAAAAAAGCACTCTGTTCTCACAATGCTGCTATCATAGTGGAGGGGGTGGGGGAGTTAATGACAGCAGCAGCAGCAGCAGCAGCAGCAGCAGCAAAAGTCAGGTGGTGGTATGCACAAAGAAGAAAATTTAGGTACAGAAGGAGAATAGAGAGCAAAGTGGGTGGGTGCTGTTTCATACAGAATGATCAGAGAAGTCCTTTTAGATAGGTAACATCTGAGCAGAGCTCTTAAAAACAGCAAGGAACTGAGACACGCAGGTATGAGCGAGATAAGAAGCAGAGAGAAAAGCAAGTATGAAAACACAGGGGTGGGGATTTCTGAGGAGCGTTAGAAGCCAATGTAGTCGGAATGCTGCCAGCAGAGGGACAGAGTGGTAGGAGGTGAGATCAGGGAAGTGCAGGCAATACAAGAGTGGCAAAATCGTGTATTTTCAGTCACAGCAAGGTGAATGATTTTATGCTGAACGAAACGGAAATGCACAGAGGGTTTTAAGCAGAGCAATGACCAGCTCTGACCTAGGCTTTGACAAGAATGTTGTCTTGTCTGTTGGGAACAGACTGAAGGGGCACAAGGGCCAACCAGGGAGAACAGCTAAGGGGCTACTGCAGAGGTGGTGGCTCAGACTACAGCAGTGGTAGAGGGGGAGATGGTGAGACGTGTCTGGATTCTGGAAACATTCTTAAGGTACAGCTAATATCATTTGTTAAAGGACTGAATGTGGGTTGTAAGAGAGAGGGCTAAAGGATGATTCTAAGGTTGTTTCACAGGTTTTCCAAATATCTGGAAAGGTACTAGAAGTTAAATACTCAGCAGCACAGTAAAGAGTGGGGTGAAAAATACATGTGGTTTGTAGCTCTTCTTCATCAGGTGAGTCAGGGAACATCTGACTGAAATAGCAAGATGTGAGCGAGCACTGAAAACCCTCAACAGTTAAGGAGGAAGTAAGGGTGAAGAGTGTGATCCCAGAGTCTATACCTGGGTAGTGAGTGGAAGCACCCCTCCTCATGCACACATTTGCCACACCTCTCAAATAAAGCAGGCCAAATAACTTTATTCAGGCTGTCTTTTTTCTTTTGGAGTACAATCTGATTCTGTGGCTTGGGCGA